TTTTTCGGATTTCGACTCTTTGGTGTTTATCAGTCTCGCATTGCACTTTATGAGATTAGATTTAGAACCGTGACAGGAGTCCGAACTGTAGTAAGACCAATTCGCGCCCTCTCCGTAAGGGGGGCGCGCGAAGAAAGTCAGGTCTACAGTTCTTCTTGAGATCAGTCTAGCTAGCCACATGCATCTGCACAGTGACTTCCTCCAATTCTTTCAGGGATAGCTTTTGGAAACCTTGCATGCCAACATTGGCTGGAGCCTCTCTAATTTCTGGAAACGGGTGGTGTCAATTCCCATAACTTTCTTTGACTTGGCTAGAAACTTTAGACTCCCCTTTCGAATCTGTTCTTGGATCCTGTCTCGGAAAACAATACAGTTTTTAGTTGAATGAGACCAAGAATTGTGCCATTTACAAAACAATTTTCCTTTAAGTTCTTCAAGGGTAGGAATCTTGACTCCCTTTGGTAATTTTAGGAAATTTGCCGCAAGCAAATGATCAAAAATGTCGTCTGTTTTTGTTAAGTCAAAAGAATACTTCATATGCAGGTCTTTCTTTTTAAACTGTTGGTCTATTGTACTGTCTTTCTGAATTAATGCCTTACAGGTCATAGGTTTTTTTTCTATTATCTCTAATGCATCAATTTCATAATTAGGGTCCTTATAGTAGGTCTTATATGATGTATTACTTCGATCTTGTTCTTCCTCGAGTAAAGTTTCATATCTAGATACGTTATAGGTTAACTCTACTAAGTCTCAAAACTCACTTGAATCAAACTTCTTTCGAAGCCTAAATTCCAACCCACTCTGAGCCAATCTTACAAATTCAGGCTCTAGTAACATGACCCTACATTTGTTCCGTGCCCTTTTAAATTTGGCAATAAACTAAGCTGCCTTCTCATTAGGCCTTTGGCTTAACCTTGCCAATTCTATATTGTGGGTTGAGTGATGTGAGCCCATATTATGAGTGCTGTTACGATATCCTGACTGATACAGTGTTAGTTAACCCGATGTATATGCGATATTCATTATATTACCAATTTTGCACAGGAGGTACTAAGCTGTGTGTTAAGCTCGGTGATGGCTGGACCTGTTGGTGGCTATGGATTGGTCGATACAAGCAATCTGCTGGATATACCTGGTTGATGAAAATGGTACTTGG